AAAAAAAAAACGATACGAAGATAGTACCCGTTGAAAAATACCTGGTGGGTGAGGGGGTTTTTCTTCAGTTCTTTAACAAGACGCACGTGGGAGAAAGCACGCCCACACACAAATAATCATATATTTCTTCACTATGCCTGAGCTTATTGGGATGCACTAGATATGTGCATTTATTGTCTTATTTGTTTTTTGCAGTATTTGCTGTATCACTCGGGGACTCATGTTATTGGTTCCAGTATTCCACTTATACATATATATGTATATTTTGAGAGGGTTTGCAGCTTCCTTGCGATATGACTTGCACAGCACATTTAACCATATGTAGAGAAGAGACAACGTATAGGTGCAGAATTCCTACTATCCACAATGGGGTGCAGGTAACTGCAACCTCGCGTCATCACTACATATTCGTTAGAGCACCAAAACAAGTCTTTATTGGGTACTGTTGTTTTTATGTTTTACAAAAATGTCTGCGGCAAGGTGTAGCTGCATGGTACAGCCTCTATAAAAATTTTTTGTGGTTTCCATTAATTACTTCAGAAGAGCGTTCATTAACATTCTTTTTTTTCTTTTTTCTCACTTATCTCCATTCATATATATATAAAAAAAAAGAGGGGGGGGGGGTGCTGTAAACACCTGGTGTCTCATCACTTCTTCAATTTCTATCATTTTTTCCATTACAAAACACAGATTACTTATTTTCACAGTGACGGGAGAAGTGGTGACAGCGTTACAGCGAGAGAGTGCAGCACAGGGACCTCAACTAACTGGCGCCACAAACCGGAATATCACGCCAAGCAACACCATGGCGCGATCGAAACATTCCTTTTTCCTTTTTCCAGTCTCAAAACCGAGTGCAAACACAAATTGCCAAGAGGGGGAACAAAAATTCAACAAGTAAACAAGAGAATTATCCAACAAAAAAAAAACAAGAAGTAGTGTAACTCATTCCTGTAACACTCACACGTTAGGGGGCGCAACTCTATTACATTTTTACATATCCCTTGGCTCCTAGCTTTATTTTCAGTAACCGATTTGGGGCCCTTCTACTAAATGGTTCAAAGAAAATACAAATTTATATAATACTACTATCACAACAACCAACACAACTACGCTGATATGCTCGGTGCGTAGATGCCCTGTGCGAAGAACACTGCAGAGAGTGAACCGGTGATGACAACGGTCATGATCCAGCCGGCGTAAAGCTTGGCAATTATAATCCAGCGTACATTCCAGAAACCAACGTCCATCATGCTGATCCCAATCACAGCGCCGGTGATGCAGTGAGTAGACGAGATTGGCACGCCGTAACCAGAGGCAAACGAGACAACGAGTGCGGTGGAGAGTTCTGCACAACAGCCACGGCTCGGGGTGATTTTCGTCACACGCTCACCAAGCAGCTTCATGATCCTCAGGCCAAACGTGGCAAGACCAACCACCAGGCCAGCACCACCGAGGCACAGAATCCATATGGGGATATCAACCTTCGGTACCACACTCTTGTTCTGATACACTGAGTAGATGGTGGCGAATGGTCCAACAGCCTTACTTACATCACTTGCACCGTGCGCGAACGATGCGCAGATCGCCGTGAACACCTGCAAGTACCGGAACACAAGCTCTGCGCGGCTGTCGTAGATTTGAACGTCAAACTTGGGCAGGTCCTCCCCACCCCGGTGGCTGCCGTTCCCGCTGCTTTCTGTATCACCCACAACAGCACCAGTGAGCGGCTCGTTCGATTTCTTAGCGGATGCATCATCAGGCACTGCCGGATTTGCAGCGGCCACGTCGTCCGTTCCGTCGGCATGGCGGTTACCCGCATTGCAGTCCTCAGCAGAAGCAGCAGCAGCAGCAGAAGCAGGGCTATGCTCCTCACCCTCAACGAGTTCCCGCTCCACCTCCTCTGGCGATGCCCCCTGCTCCTCCGCCTGCCGTGCAGCCTTTTCTGTCATTATTCTCACACGGCGCCGCACCAACGGAATAAACGCAATCGAAATGAGACCGGTGCCGCCACCAATGATAGCAGCCACCCAGGCGGCCTTATTCACATCCCAGTGGAGACGCTCTTTGGCTCCCTTGAACAGCACAAAGAAAGACTCCAGGAAGAACGCCACGGCAACAATGATCGGGATGGAGTACACCGCCCGCTGCACCGAGTTCGCAGGACGCATTACCAGGAAACGCACCAGCCCGTATATAATCGCGGCGGCAATCCCGGTGAACAGGGGTGAGATGAACCACGACACAACAATGGGAACAAATCCGGCCACAAAAGGGAAATCATCCTGCTTCTTCGCCCACGACACAGCGCCACCGCCACCGTACACAAGCGCGAACCCCATAATCCCACCCGCAATGCTGTGCGTTGACGACACAGGAAGACTCAGAATAGTCGCGAGTACAAGCCACGCAAAGGCAGCGCCGAGTGCACACAACATGCCGTACATCAGAATATACGGCTCATTGGCAAACATTGACGGGTCTGCGATGCCACCGGAGATCGTCGAGGTCACCGCGGCGCCAAGGGAAACGGCTCCAGCAAACTCACAGACAGCGGCAACGACGACAATCTGGGGCAGCGTCAAGATGCGGGCTCCGTATGTGGTGCCAAAGGCATTGGCAAGATCATTCATTCCAACACCACATCCCGTGAGGAAGGCAAGAATGCCGCCGACTATGGCGATCCATAGATACGGGTTGACCATTGATAGATTTGCTGCTTATTCTTCTTCTGTTGAACAAAAACAATATGCAGTGATATGTGTTCTTCACAAAGCTTGTGCGAGTATATGTGTATCGCGGAAGTAAATATAGAAACCGGAACCAATAGGACAAGAGAAATAACAAATAGAAAATGATATAAAAGAAGAGCCTACAGTTTGTTCGTTAGTTTGTTTTTATTGTTGAATTAGACAGTTTAGTTGTAGGTATTATGGTAAAAGGAATCTTGTTATTACTAGTCATAAGTATCTATGGTTTTTTTTTTTTCTTTCTTCTTATTTGTTCTTGTTGTTCTTGTCGCTTTTCTACTTTTGCTGATGTAGTACACTGCCTTGTATCGTACTGTTGAGCTGTATTAACTGGTGGATGATTTTCTCTTGTTGAGTTATCCGCTCAATTTCTGCGTGCACCAATTTTTGTAGTTGCATGTGTAGCTGTGTTTTCATAGATTTTCTTTGTTTTTGAAAGAGATGTATAATGTTGTGTCGTTGATCTTTTTCTTGTTGTATGATACCAAAGTATTCTTTTAAATGTACCAATGATATTCCAGTTATTGACTGAAGTTCTCTATCTGCCTCTTCTCTTATGCTATTATATTGAGCATATGCTTCTTGGAATATTTTTCGCCGTTGAGCGAACTCAGCATTGGTCATTATGATCAATTCTTGTTCGTGCATGTCAGCAACTATTCTATCTCGGCGTTGTTTTTCCTTATTCATAATTAGCTTTCGCTGTTGAAATTCGTTATTACAAATTTCGTTCTCTTTTTGCCTATAATTCTCTATTCTTTCCTTTTCTTCCTGTGTGTTTTGTTTTTTCCGACGTTGAGAGGCCTCACGCACTTGTTCCTTTAATATAGCATCACGACTTTCCTTGTAGCCCAAGGAAAACCCATGTAACTTTAGCTGGTGCAAAAGGAGGTTATGGAGTAAAGTATCAGAAGAGCAACTGGAGATTTTTGTACTTGGATTCCACAATGCCTGCATGCGCTGTTGGAGTGCTTTTTGTCTCTCACGAGTGTTTGGAGACGAATCATCGGATGCACGCAAAAAGTTTACAAACCGTAAACTGTAGACGTTGTCAGTGCAGCCACGACGAAAAAGAGGCCCCATATTTGATTTTGCCGCTCTTGACGAGGGTGCAAGGCATTCTTGGACATCACGCTGTCTGAGTGCTCTCCTCCAGGCTTTATTATCTCTAATCATGTCATTAATAAATCGATCGCTAAGCACCTCACTCATTGTGATCCAAGGGTTAACTTAGCGCTTTTTTTTGAGTCTTTGCAATTAAATATGCTAAGAAATTTAAGAAAAGAACAAGAATGGAATGGAAAAGCAGTTGAAGGGATGCAATGTAACTGTTTTATTATTATTATTATTATTATTATTATTATTATTATTATTATTATTATCATTATTGTAGAAAGTAAAGAACTACTAGAGACACTTATACGTCTATAAGCATAGGTCCCTTCTCATATATATATATATATATATATATATATTCTTCTTGTGGTTTCCCTGCCTGTTGTCAATTCCCCGTTTCCTTATCCCAGGCTATAGGAGTTACTGTGACTGTAGGACGTGGCATGGCGATGAAGCGTCCGAGGAGATCCTCCTGCGGGTGTGGGGGTGGGAGTTGGTTGAGGTGCGGGTCAAAGTAGGCGACCTGTGTGTAGTACCCGACCCGCAGGAACTCCTGCCCGCGGTACTGGAAGGAGATGACGAGGATCGTCACACCGAGTAGCTCCTCCGGCGGCACCAACTCCGCCCGCGGCGGGTCGCACTCCATCGTAAACTCCGTCGCCCCCTTCGCCAACGGCCCAACGTCAAAGGCATCAAGCACCTGATCGTAAGCCGCACTGCTCGCACTGCCAACCCACACAAAAGCCACAGAAATGGGCTCCTGAAGTGGATACAAAGACTCCAAACGCATGCGCCAGCGTAAGGACTGCGTGTATAACGCAGGATTGTCGCCCAATAGCTCAATCTCAAGTAGCTGTACTACAGGCTCCGTGCTCATCTTTTTTATGTATGATGTATTTCTTTGTTATTGTTTTTTTTTTCTGTTTTCTTTGACTCTACTTTTCTTGCTAACTATAACCTAGTTAATGACGTCCCCAAAAACAGTCTCTCTCTCTCTCTCTCTCTCTCTCCCTCACTTTCTACTACTCACTCACACAGAGAAAAATAAAACTATCTTTTCTCCTCCTTATACTGATTTGTCGACTCGATTGAGATTGACGTACGGTACAGGTATTTACCTTCCCGCTTCCCGAATTTTTCTGTTGTCAATGATGATGTTTGTTTCACTTTTTTATTCTTTTTTTTTCTTTTCCCAATCCGTTGCTAATTTCTTTTCCCTTCTTTAGTCTATGGTTGTGAGTATATATATATATATATATATATATATATATATGACCTTCTGTTTTTTTTTTTCTATTTGCACTTCAGAGTGTGTCTGTATCTACTCTTTCTTTCTATGTGTTTCTTCTTCCCACGGTAGGCTGTAGCAGACAAGCACAGACGTTTCAGCCACCTCCTCCTTCTACATACCCACCACGCCAAAAAAAAAAAAAAGATAGAAGAAGAATAACACATTACACTTTACCATTACAGAAGTAAGTCCAGCAAGACTCAACAGAGGGCTAAGGGAAACATATATAGATATATAATTAAAAAAAAATGAGCAAATAAAAGAACACTAATGCAGAAGCAAGGTAATAAATAAAAAAAAAAAAACTTGGAAAGAAAAAAAAAAGTTTATCTATTTCTGCGTATTCACTATTCACTCATAAGATCTGTGAGAGAGCAATTTTCTTTTATAAACACCACACGAGTTACGTTTTCTGTAGCGTTTATAGTAAACGCGTAGAGACTGTCCCTTACACCAGCAGCCAACATGTCAAGCAGCTGTTCCCACTCACTCCTAAGCCATACCATCATGGCTAACATTGTATTTGATTGAACTTGTTCTCCATTAGTCACACATGAAAGAGAAAGAAGCCACCACCAACTCTCCTCGGGTTTATATTGCCATCCTTCAAGCAGCTTATTTCGCATCACAAAGTAATCAACTTGCCCTTCATCTACTACCAAGGCGCAAGCACTTCGGACAGCTACCCGCTCCTCCAATATCGCATTCAGTACAGAGGGATTTCTGATTGTAACAGTTACCTGATGCTGAACTTCAGCAGTGAATTGAATGTCAATTTCAAAGTAAGTAGAATCAGGGACAAGCTCCTCTTGTGGTACGCTCTGTTTAATCTCATTAGAAGCAGTAGTACTACTAGAATCTAGTTCTGTAAAAAGATTGATGCATTCACGTTTTTCAGAACCGAAACATCTTACCATCCGCATCCTCAGAATATTACCAAAAAAATGAGATTTACCATTGCGTTTATATAATTTAGTCAGCATAATATCTTTATCTTTATTCATTATCACAGATTTCTGTTCACTTTCAATAACGGCTTTCTGTTCATGACTCACCTGAGGTCTAACAATCGATGAAGGAATGGAAACACCTTTTGAAACAGAACCTCGTGCATCGCTCCGCATATAATACGGTACACGTGAAGGAGCTCCTGTTTCTACCATTAAAGGAATTTCACTAGCGCTAAGCTCTGATGAGAAGTGGCGTACACCACTTCGCGCTTCATCACTCAGTTGTCGTAGGCGAAGTAGTTCCACTGCACGGGCAGACACACTGTCCATACTTTTCACCTTCTCACGGCAGTCTTCAAGGACAGCAACAGCGGCGCGCAATCCTGGAGCTGCAGGTCTTTGTAGAACTCGAGTATACTCATTTGCCAAGACATGCAGAGAGTCTGAACCCAAATCAACATCCGCTCGGCGAATGAATGAAGCGTTCTGCACAACTACAGGTGTAAATGATGTTGCAGGCATCGAGATAATAATCTCTTTTACTGGTGTCGCACATGGTACATCCATAAGAAAGTATGAAGGAGCTTTCTGTCGTGTAACATCTACCAGAGCAAAAACATACGATATCACTGAGTCTGTTTTTGTAGAGGACACAAAAAAAGCAGCAAAGTCCATAGGCGCACCTGCGGGGGTGGTGGAGTCAATATCTTCCGCACTTTGTTGTAGCTGACGTGAGAATCCACTCACTGTAGATAATTGTCTGTACTCCAACCTACCACGTGTGTAGAGTACCTTGGCGTTTCGGAACGGATGCGATGGTCGACTACGGGATGGTGTGACAGCAAATACAAGAATCACAGTGCCTTCTGCAGGGAACTCCGTAGCGACATCGTCCAACACATTTGCAAAGCAACCATCACCAACGTCTTCCCATAATTGTAACAATACATCCTCTTTGGTATCGCATGTTAACAGAAGAGATGAGACACGAACGAGTCGTCGACTGCTTGTTGCATCCTCTGAAGTCCCTGATGTTTCTCTTACTTCACTTCCTGGTGTAGCTTCTGTCATTTGTCGTGTAACCAACTCGAGTGATTTCTGCTGGGCAAGGAGATTTCTTATCACCCTTGTACCGTTATTCGCAACTCCACGACGGTTAATACTCTGTTCAATGAAGATAGTTGGCAATAAACGTTCGACTGTACCACGGAGTGATGGAACAAGTCCACCAAGTGGATGCACAGAAGCAGATGAAAATATAGGTGGATTAGCATTATACAGCCCAAGAGCAGAATCTGCATCCACCGGTCGTGTACAGTTGTAGTTAATCGAAAGCACCACATCATCCCGACATTCCAGAGGGGAACAAAATTTCTTTACAAGCATTTTGGCCCCACATATAAGGATTTTCTGCCCGCGACGAAGAATACCTTCTCGTACTAAGTTTGTTAGTGGAACATCTAGAGCAACCTTAATCTCATAACAACCATCAGAGATGACACCCACAGAAGTGTGAGGCGCAAGACGTTCCTCTAATGAAAGAGAAACAATAGTTACAACCATTAAGGATGATGCTGGAACGTCCCCCTCAGTAACAATGCGCAACGCTGGTCGTTCAGCTTGTACAAACTCCCGATTATATTTAAAGCATATACAGAGAAGACTGTGAGAAACAGAAAACACTGCCAATGGTGGATTGCAACGAAGTGAAAGACCCCGTAACTTTAACAATGTGGACTTTAGCATCTGCTGACACCAATCTTCTAAACAGACATCAATCCCAGTTACAGTTCCTCCAAGTTCCAACAATGCTGTATAAAAACAGTTTGGTGAAACTGTAATATCCGTAGTAGATAATCCTAATATTCGCACAAGCTCAGGTGAACACCCCTCACGTTTAAAAGCAAACCTCTCTTGTACAATATCTTCTGCTGTCGGAAGCGCTGACATCGCCAATGAAGAAAATCTGAAAATATCATATGATATTGCCCTCAGAGATTTTTTCTTAGATGGAATTACTGTAGAACTTAAAACCCCTGAAGACCGCTCACGCGGACCACGGGCTAAAGGAACTACAAAAGATCCCTTACTCAGTGATGCTCTTGCTTCAACTGCTTCTGCCGCTGGTGCGGGTAGATGAGGGGTTGCAGCACCACCGTCAGCACCTCCAACGCAACTCACACTTAAAGCAACAGTACTGTTCTCAGTAGAAATGGACGCCACCTTTTCAACGCCACCATCTAATCTCATCCGCGCTGCCTGAATGGATGACTCTGATACAACAACAGGTGTACCAGAAGCAGTAGAAAAGAGTGTCTGTACGCTGTGCCCGCTTTCTTGTGCAGGTGATACCTCTGTGGTAGCAGACTTCCCTTCTAATCTCATCCGTGCTGCCTGAATGGATGACTCTGATACAACAACAGGTGTACCAGCAGCAGTGGAAAAGAGTGTCTGTACAACACCTTTTATCAGATGCCCATTCACGTTCTCCTCTGATGGTTTTAATGGACTCGGTGAAGACAATGCATCATTTGATGTATCGTGTGGGCGTTTGCGAATGTTGCGTCGGCACATACTACAGCGTACCCGACCGGGTGTATTGCAATAAGTGCAGTGACTACATACATTCGATTCCTTTTGCACCATGACCCGTCAAGACTTTCGACACAAATACAGAATTTCAAAAACGAAAAAGAAAAAAAAATACAAATAAAAGCAGTTTGATAAATAATTAAATATATATATATATATATATATATATCGAGATAACTACAACATGTGAAGGTGAAAATGTAAAAGAATAGAGGCATTATGTTATTTTTTCAGTAATACACTCCCACCTGCATTACTTAAGAACAACGTAGGACATTGTGTCTACGAAGGTAATTTCCTTCATAATGTCTAAGACAGCATTCACATAATCCCATAGTGGCTGCTTGTACGCTGCTGGCATGGCGCAACCGCCAAGTTTGTCATAGTGCACCAATATCGACGGCAGTGCAATGAAGAAGCGAAGAAGGTACTCAACAGGAAGTACTGCTGCACATTTGTGTGAGCATGCGGGTGTTGCAGTTGCTGCTTTCGCCGCTGCTGCTTCTTCCGTATCGCTGCGACGACGTTTTGGCCCCGGCCGCCCATCCGACCGTCTCTCACGCTGCGCGGCCGCGAGATTTATAACACGCCGCTCCCGGGCAGAGAGAAAAGACGAGGCGCAGCACTCTTCAATAGTGTCCAGCACAAGTGACTGGCAGCATTCCAAAACGGACTCACTGGTGTTGCAACGCTGCCGCACCTGCTCCCGTGCGTCTGCAAGAAAAGTAAGAACACTGCGCTGAGCCGCGCCTGTGGCAAGTGGCGGTGTGCGTGGATGCTCGGGATGCTCCACCTGCTCCAGATGGCGCCGCAACACAAGCAGTAGCTGCGGCGGCCACTCAATACCCTCTGTCATAGATATACACAAGTATTAATATGCCCACCTATATATATATATATATATATATGTATATATATATATATATATATATGTAGGTGGGTGGATGTATGTGGGCTGGATGAATTATTGGAATGGAATGCATAATGGCAGACGTAGAGGGGAAGTGAAAAAAAAAAAAAAAAGCATAGAGTACGTCCCTGTATACGTGCGAGAAACTAGAAAAAGATATCATATATATATATATATATATATATATATATATATATACCCTTTTACTTACTTGTAATCACACTTCATTCAAATGAGCAACTCAACGCGTCCACAGAGTTCATTCAACGCATTTAAAACTTCTTCACACTGATCTTGTCTAGTTTCAAGCTCTCTCTCTTTTTCACGCAGTCTTATTTTGACTGCTGTCTCTTCTGCAATTTGTTTTGCCTTACGAGAATTCTCATCCTCAACGATACGAGTGCGACGTGCCAACTCAACTTCACGAAGGTTAAGATCACGGGTACGCTTTTCTACAGCTACGCGTATATTTATGAGGGCCTCCTGGGACTCCGCAAGACGTCGCCTCTCTTCCACTAGTTGCTCTTGTTGTTGCTGCACTGCTTTTTCACGATTCTGAACTGCCTGTTCACGCTCGGTGATCTCCGCATCTTTTCGACGCAATTCCGAAGCATGCTTTTCTAAATTCACGATAAGATCCTCCCAACCCTTCAGCATCGCAACAATCATACCATTGTTGCTATTATTGCGCCTGGGAATAGAGCGTAACGCAACTTCAACCTCCTGCTGCCAGTTCTCATGAGAAGGCTGTATTCCAATAGCAACTGCGCGCTCTAGCAGATTTTCTCTTGCTACCACTTCTGCCTCGTGTTCCTCGAGCAATCGCTCCGCCCGTTCAATCGCATCCAGACGCAATTGATATATGGTGCGTGCATCCATGTACGGCGTTACTACACTCCAACTAACTCGATCCTCTCCTGTATAAAACGGCTTTTTGTCTATTCACTCCCGTATCGATGTTTTTTTTTCTTTTTTTGGTCTCTATCTATTCTTTTTTTTTTCCTGCACAGGTATGCCTTCTCCTTTCTCCCTCTAATTCCCTGCGCGTTTGTGCGTAAGAGAGGAGGGGGCAGAAGTAACACCTGACGACCAAAGTCAGGCGCCCAAATGGATAGCAAAAAAAAAAGAAAAAAAAAGAAAAAAAAACCAACAAAACGAAAAGCCTTATTGTACTTCAAAGTTTACAATACATCATCATAAATAAGACATCACGTGCATGCATACCAATGAGACCATTGAAATCAATAGAATGGAACAGAAGACAACTTGTATTTTTTTTTTTTTTTTTTGAACGTTCCCTTGTTTTTCCTTTCTTCCTTTTTTTTTCACCTTCTTCTTCTTTTCATCCATAGATCCATTGATCGATTCATCAATGCGTAGATGGGTCTGCACCCACTGCTGTAGAGCTTTCTATGCCGCTGCTCGACACGCTACAATGTCACACGGGACATGTGTAGCCGCAATAAGCCAATATCCCTGCAATTCTACCGAAAACAGAAGAGCATAATCATACAAGTAGTTTTGTAGTGGGTTCTCCTTCACATGCGCTGCCGTTACCCCAGAGTTCGACTGCGAACGTATATTAAGCCAGCGAATGGCCTCAGTGAGGTTATCCCTGCCATGACCTACCAATGGTGTTATGTTGAATTTCATCTCCCGTGGTGTCACTTGGTAGACAATAGTACACCACGAAATGTCCCACGTGCGTGTGCGCAGTTCCTCCTCACGGCGCAGTGCACGGGAAACGGGAATTATAGAACCATCCTCCGTGTTTACATCACCGCTGGCTTGACCAGAGAGCGCCGCAACACGCCTTAACCAGGTCGCTTTCTCTGGTGCCGCAGTCATTGAAGAATTGTTGTTGTTGTTGTTGTTGTTGTTATTATTATTATTGGTAGTAGCATTCATAGCAGTAGTGGTGTTATTTCCATGATGTGAAAACATCTGTGCTATCAAGGAATAACTATTCTTGTATTCTCGGGCATAACGACGGAACATCACTCGCCTATCGCATTGTCCAATATTATCACTTACAAGAACAACACCATGCACCACACAAAAATCAGCAGGCCAGTATATAGTCTTCTTATTTAGTGCTTCTACAGCATCTGACAGGGTCGAAAAATGTGCCGAAATGTCAAACGCTAATTCATGACTGTTTAACTTTTCATTGCTCTTCAAAGTGTAGGAATGCGAGATCTGCCATCGTGAGGCGCCTTGTTGGTGCTGCTGCTGCTGCTGCTGTTGTTGTTGTTGTTGTTGTTGTTGTTGCAGAAGTCGTTCAATAATAGCCGATCCAGGACCTTTTGTTGTCCCACCAGTCACTTTTCCTGCCGCCTCTGCGCTTAGAATAGCGGGATCCGTTATCATTGTCGGTGTTGTTGTTGTTGTTGTTGCTGTTGTTGATGGTGATCCACGTGGGTTTCCGCTCTTTGCACTGCGCGGCTGCGGAATTGCAATGGTTGTTGCAGTACGTGGACCCAATGTAACCGTAGTAATGGGTGGAAGTCCCTTTGTAAGAGTACCACTAGCACCAGAAGGAGATAATTCATGCGTAAAATGTGTTACAGAAAGCTTAGACGCCCTTACCCACAAGGACCAATCATGTGTACTGCCATTGTTATTGTTGTTATTGTTGTTGTTACTGTGTTTCTCACCAGCTTCTTCAGCAGCGTCCACGAAACCCTTTCCTGTACACATTGCGTGCATGTGTGAACTTGTGGATTTCGTACAACCAACAATAAGGTTCGAACACAGCACAATTGTGTCTGGATTTCCCAAATGGGGCAAAGCCTCTGTAACAGCATTCACCCGTTGCCACAATACGGCAGCAGGATCAATATACAGAACAGCAAGTGTCAAGGAAACACCGGCAAAAGAGCGGATCTGTAATGTCATGAAAAGTCGTACAACAACATTACCACCCAAACTGCTCTCCAGCACTTTTGTTGCATTATCAGCGGTATCACAGTTTGCACCAACACGCAGAAGAATGACAGTTCCCCTGTCAGGGCCCTCACGAGGTTCGTACCGCACAAGATCTGTGATTGAGTATAATTTACGAACGTGAAGTGACTGCATCATTTGCTGCCTCGCTGCCAGTGTAGCATTGTGAACAAAAACGAACGAAGGAGATGAGGCCAGAAGAACTTCAGAGAAACTATCCATATCTACAACAGAGGATGGACCACTGCCAAGGTCAATAACGCACACCGAAACGGACTTCAGAGAAGATGTCGTTGCGGTTCCTGAGGAAGAGGAGGTGGAACGCTTATCCGTCCAAGAGCCCTCCTCGAAGTGCTTCACCTTGAATGGGATCATGTTTCACCTACTCAAGGTGTTTTATACACAGACAGAACAAAAAAAAAAAAAAAAAGACAAAAACTCAAACCTAAACACACGCAAACCTTCTCTCACTCTCTCTATCACTCTATTGCTCCTCCTTTCTTTCAATCACCACCCCACCTAGAGCTGCTGCAGAAAGAAAAAGAAAAAAAGAGAGAGTGAGAGGGACGGAGGGACGAAAAGGAAAAAAAAAAACACGCTAACATGAAATGAAGACAGAGAGAGAGAAAAAAAAAATCAATAAAAAAAATGAGGTAAGGAGAAAAGTTAATCACAAAGTTTACCTGTTTGTGTTCGTTCTCACAAAACCTGCTGAAGAATACATAATGAATCCAATGATGAAAAAAGGCACGTTAATATAAATTAAAAAATATCCAACGCCATTCCTAGAAGCAAAAACTGTACGCAGACACGATTCACGAGAAGCAGCCACTTCTACTGCTGCAAGAAATCCGGAAGGAGGGAACCCAGATGCACAAATGATGAACGCAAAAATAATAAATAATAATAATAATAATAATAATAATAATAATAATAATAATAATAATAATAATAATAATAATAAGTATCCACAACATTATCCATATCCTTCGAAGAATTATTTTTTTTTTTTATCAGATTATGATGTTGTATATGTGTATATGCAATATAACGCCAAGCAGATCCTAAAAGCCACTTTAGGAATTTTACAGTAATGAAACAGAGCTCATGATTTGGTCTAATTTTCTAGTGTATTCCTGTATTTTGAAAGAGTAGAACTACTACAGTGTTAGAAAAAGCATTAATATCTAAAAAAAAAAAAGTAGAAAAAAAAAGTTGTTAACCAGAAGAAGGTGATTTTCATCAGAATAAAATTATCCCACATATTTTAAATGAACCCAGTAAGAAGAAAAAGGGAAAAAAAAGATTTTAAAAAAAAACTCTGAAATTCAGAAACCTTTCCACTTATTTACATAACCAGAGATGAGCAAAACGAAATAAAAAAAACAAGACACCTCAAATTCCGCACGCGTATAAAGTATGTGAGAGTGTGTGAGGCTATGTACATCTTGACCGTTACCATACCCTTTCGTCATCATCATCCCCTATCGCATCTCCCTAACCATACGTACATCTTCTTCCTCATTTTCTTTCCCTTCCTCGTCCTCATCAACTACAGCCCTTGCTGCGGTGCGGTGCCTTGTACGAGAGAGAAGTAGCTTGTCTCGTGAGGACCCGGCGTAGTGCTCTAGCTCTAGACGTTCCTGTCGACGTGTCTGTAGTGCGGCGAGACGTTCCTGCCGGTGGGCGACGACCCATTCGAATTTTGAGCGACAGGCGGCGGCCCACGCGGCATGCGGTGCGTCCCGCCACTCGTCTCGCCGCCGCTGTTCGGCGGTTGGGCCAGTGGCGAAGAAAGGTGGCATGCGGGGAGTTCTCTGTCCCTCACTACTAGTTATTGTATTGGTATAATAAGTGACATTGCTCTTGTTGATGGAGTTGGGCATAGGGTTTGGGATGGGACCCCTGTATTGACCGGAGAGGGCTTGCAGGAGAAGCCGCTGACGGGCACGGTGAAGCAATAGCAGTCGCTGCTCTTCATGCACACCACGACGCACCATCAGCCGCTGCGAATCACGCGATCCAACAAAATCAGGAGAAGGATGAGAAGACGTATTTAAATCCCCCACATCGGGATGGTGCGCCGCATTTGAAGAAATAAGGGGAGCAGACTTTCTCATTGAAGCGCCGAGCTTCCAACTTTTCGGGGGAATTGCAAAAGCATCGGGAAAAGAAATTACATCATAGGGAACCCCATCGTACAACTGCTCCACAAGTACAGAGGGGCCATCATCAGCTTCACTACCCGAAAGAGACATATAATCTACCCAACACACAAAAAAAAAGCACAGGCAACAATACAGTAAGAGAAGAACAAAATTACACCACAGTATCACAGCATTATCAAAGCAACAACAAAATAAAAATAAAAATATAATAAAACTTAAATGATCAACATATTAACAAATAAAATACCCAAATACACCGGCACACTCAAACATATTCATAGTAATAAAAACAGTAATAATAGTAAAAATTATACTAAAATACCAATACCAAAATGATTTTCTTTTCCTTTTGAAAACACCAAAAAAAAAAATTTAAAGTTCTAGAAATAAAATTTCTCTTTCTCATTGCAATAGTTCAAACCGCAATACAAAAAGTAGTACTTGGGTCACTACTGCTTATCATCGAGTGCAGCAACACCAGGAAGAGTCTTGCCCTCCAGCAGCTCCAGCGATGCACCTCCTCCAGTAGAGACATGCGACATGCGAGGCGCCTCACCGCTCAATTCCGCGGCGCTTGCACTGTCACCACCGCCAATGATGCTCAAAAGCCCGTGGTGCTGCGTCCCGTCGCCCATAGCCTTCGCAATAGCAAAAGTGCCCTTCGAGTACGGTGTCATCTCAAATACACCCATCGGCCCATTCCAAATCGCACTCTTGCACTTCGCAATAGTATCCACGTACTTTGCGATGGTCTTGGGGCCGATGTCAAGTGCCATGTAGCCATCGGGGATGTCCACGCCCTCTGTCACCAGAGGTGAGTCCACAGCCTTGAATTCCTTGTTGCACACGTGATCAAGGGGCAGAAGTACTTGAACCTTGCGCTCCTCAGCCTTCTTCAGCAATGAACGTGCCAGGTCCAGTTTGTCTTCTTCGCACATCGAGATACCGATCTTGTGGCCTTGCGCCTTCAGGAAGGTGTATGCCATGGCGCCACCAATGATGAGGTAGTCAATGCGCTGCAGCATATTGTCCAGGAGCTGAATCTTGTCACTTACCTTAGCACCACCAATAATCGCCACCAAGGGACGTGCTGGATTGCCCAGGACCCTGGCAAAGTATTCAATCTCCTTTTCCATGAGATAACCAGCAGCACCGTGACCAAGGACCTTTGGGATACCTGTCATTGTTGCACTCTCGCGATGTGCTGTGCCAAATGCATCGCTGACGTATATATCACCGTAGGATGCCAACACGCGAGCCATTGCAATGCGCTCATCTTCCTTTTTGCTGCCCTCCTCAGTGTAAAAGCGTACATTTTCAAGCAACATTACTTCGCCTCTTTTGAGTCTTGTTATTTCCGACTTGGCATCCATGCAATCATGTGCGAAGTATACGTGTTGGCCGAGTAGTTCAGCGAGTAGAACAGCAATGGGGCGAAGGCTATATTCTTCTTCATACCCTCCGCTAAGGCTGAGTTGAGGAAAAATATGTTCTTTATTTTCATTGAGGTACTTGGTTAATAACTCTCTTTTTTCATCATCTGGCAGACGTGCAAAAACACCTGTTTTTCCAGAACCTTCGCTGAGTGAGAGCGTTTTCGCTTCTTCTTTGGCACTTGACTGAGCAAGTATCTTTGCTTTTTCTTCTCCTGGGAGAACACCAAAAAAAGCTGTTTTACCCTTACTATCGTGAAAGTGTACTCCATGGTACCGCTTCTTTATATCCTTTTCATTTGATGTGTAAGAAACCCCTTTAGGCCTACCAAGGTGACTCATTAATATGCAGATGCCACCCTGGTCAATTACACGACGTATTGTCGGAATGGCTGTACGTATACGGTAGTCGTTGGTGATTCGACCGTTCATCATTGGAACGTTGAAGTCTACTCGAATCAGTACTCTCTTTGCCGTCAGAGGCCAGACATCGTCAATAGTTTTTTTAATGGTTAAATTGTTTGGCATTCTGATGTTTATACTCAGCCTTTGTAATTTTTTTTTTTTTTTTTTTTTTGGTATTCGTGTTACTTCCTTTTGCTTTCGCAGTTTTTATTGCTTTGAAATTTTAAGATAGTTAACAAATACAAGAACAATTAGAAATCAGTGAAGGTGAAAAACAAGACAAGAAATAGACAAGAAAAAAAAAAAAAAGGATCCGTAAAAGGGATGGGAAGATTTTTGTTATTAAAACAAAAAGAAGTTAAGGCAAAAATAAAATACACAAAGGTTCGTCTTTTTTATTTTTATTTTTTTTTTTTTGTTTGTGGTTTCCTTACTGTATTGCTTTGATGTGCTGTATGGGTTGCTTCAGTAATTCCTTCTTCTTTATCCCCGTTTCTTTTCCATTCCATTCCATTCCTTCCAGTATTCATCCCCTTTGAATGGATTCAATAGAAAAACAACAAATGGAAAGGAAATAATAATAATAATAATAATAATAATAATAATAATAATAATAATAATAATAATAATAATAAATAATGATAATAATAACAATAAAAACAAGAAAAAAATAAATAAATAAAAAAATAAATAAAAACTACGTTACAACTTTAAAAATAAAGTCGATATCATTTTCTTGATGGTGTTAGCTGCCGACCCTTCTTAATGCGTTCCTCTTGCTGTTGCAGCATCGTCCAGAGTACCTCCGGCACCGCTTTGCCCAACTCCTGCAGCATCTGTCCTTCTCGCAGAAGCAGCACAAAGACACTCTCAGACAACATGCGTTCCTCCTCCTTTCCAAGCACAGACTCAACAGAAGAAACACGGTTCTCTAATAAAGCGGCAGCATCCCTTAACAGACACACAGCATCTTCAGTGGCGTGCATGTACGGTGCGTAACAGCCAAGAATAAGGGCCCGCTCTATAGATTGTTCACCGTGTACCGCACATGCCAAGTTAAAAGCATACTGTAATACTTTACCAGCTCTATCATCCCGGAGAAAGTGCAGCAAGCGTCCGCATTCTCTGGCATGCCGTACAGTCTCAGCATCTTTTTTCCCATTCTCTTGATTAGATCGTACCACACGCAACCACAACTCTGCAGCTGTTACAAGCTCCTTGCCTTCATTAAGCGCAAGAAAGGTTGCACTGCGATCAAGACATTGCAGCAGATCATCACTATACTTCAGTTGAAGTTTATCTACAGTTTCGCATATGGCACGTGTGTGGAGAACCAACTCGTTTGCAATGCTACTGCCGGTACCACGCCAGCGTCGAGGCCACAGTGAATGTAATACCTTTGCACTCTCTTCCACAGACGCACTATCGGCTTTACTGCGGAGTATTTTCGCAATAGAGGGATGAATACGTAGTGATGCCTCATCCCATCGCTGTTCACAAATGCCTAATCCTGCTGCTTGTACAGCAAATACCTCTCCTTCGCCTTCACCAAGAAGGCAATCCACAAGAGTGTATGATATGTTGTCAATATTAAATAAAGCAAGTTTTGCTAAGTATTCCTTTCCACCTGGACAATCCTGCTCAAGTGCTGCAAGCGCAATATTTAAAAGTACATCAAGTAAAGAAGAAATACTCAAGATACCTTCTCCAGTAAAACCTTTAGCATGAAGTTCTTCTTTTAGTTTCATCGGTGTTACAGTCTCACTCTCCATAAGGCAACAAACCATGTGCATAAGGAGTGGAACATAACCAACAGCATGCATAACTTCGCGTGCAGGGGAGGATTCATCCTCTACTTCTAATACATGTGGAAACTCTAGCACAGCACTAGGTGATAGTGGTAAAACTTTAAGTACTCCAATTTTATTAGAGCTATCAACTTCAGAAACAGTAGTAAGGAGTGTATAAACGTTTGTGTGCTCAGGTATGAGACGAAGCACCTCTTGTGGATCCTGTACACCGTCAATTACTAACAAGACATCCTTTTCCTTCCTACCTTTCATGGATTGAAAAAACTGCAACAGAGTTGACTGTAGATCATCTTTAGCGTTAAACCAGTGAATACATGTAAACCGCTCGCTGCGTCTAGCACGATCGCAGAATTCCGCTGCTATTGTTGATTTGCCAATTCCATCTGGTCCTGTAATGGCTTGAAAGCGACGACCTGCCAGTAAGTTTTGCCACAGCGAAAGGATTTCCACATCACGACCGACCACGCGAGATAATGCAGGAACATTGAAGATTATAGGGTGCGCAGTCTGTTGTTGTTGTTGTTGTTCGTACTTCTCCCACTGCGGCTTATCTGTAGTGGGTGTAGATACAAGGCGGAAGCCGAAGAGTTGAAAGTATGCTTTTCTCGGCAAGCGCCACATATTTAAGCTTCTATTTTTTTTTTGTGTGTGTGTGTTTGTTTGGTTTGGTTTTGCTCTCCGTTTTTTTTTTTTTTCTTTTCTTTTAATCGTTTAACTCTTTTTGTTGTTGTTATTGTTCTTGGATTTGTCTATACTTTTCCGCACGTGCGTACGAAACAAAAGAAAAAAAATTAAACGAACTACAGCAATACAAAACAAGAAAAGAACAAAAAAAATACAACGATATATCCAGAATAGGAACGAGGCAGCAGTGTACATATTATTGTCATTTTTCTCCTCCCTCCCTCAGTTTCTCCTTCTCCGTATATATTAGAGAAAGGGAGGAATGGGAAACAACAACCAAAGGAAAGCTCTCAATAAAGAGAAACAAAGTCCCGTTCAAATATGAACCCTGATCATCTATCATATAAATACAATTGTGGGGGGAAAGAAGAAGAAGAAGAAGAAGAAGAAGAAAGGAAGAGATATTCGATAAGAATAGGAAAGGAACAACAACAACAACCCACTACAAAGAATCTGGTCCTTATTAGTTGGTTTTCAGTTTCCTTTTTCCCCATTTGATTTCTTTTTTTTTTTTTTTTTTTGCATTGATTATTGTTGTTCCTTCACCTCAGAAAAAGAAAAAAAAATAAAATAAAATAAAAACCAAAGAGAGTCATTATTCCAATATGAAACGTTTATCATCAGTGTGCTTATAAGTGATCATCTTACTCCACTCCGACATCAACACTTGCAGTTCTTTTATTTCCTTGTCTAAACGCTGATGAGGCAATAGATCAGAGTGGTGCCTTTTCTGCACATTCACCTTAGAATTTGACGTTATAATATTTGGCTCAAATAACTTACTCCTATTGGAGTCTACAGCGGTAGTAGTAGTAGTAGTAGTAGTAGTAGTAGAAACAGGATTAGTAGAATAGGAAGAAGAATAATCAAACCCCTCAAACTCTGTTTGTACACCTCTCGTAACGTTACGTTTCGATCCAAACAAGACAACATCTGTAAATGGAGATGATAGAGATGAGAACAAAAACTGTGAATTAGAGAACGTCGCTTCTACTTTACTCCACGTGAGTGTGCGCATATTAAGACGAAATGCATCCATTGTACGTATCATTTTCGAACGTAATCCTCCAATAATATAAACATGCTCTCCAACGCACACCACAGCAAAGCCAGTCAGTGGTGGTGGTAGTGATAATGATATTGATGATGATATTGACGATGATGTGCTGTCGTTTGTCACTACTACAGGTTCCCAACAACGTCGTGGTACATCAAATCGGTGAAGATCGTTAAATAAACGTCTGGTGTTTGAACCTGTACCACCAAATATGTACACAAAACAACCCCAGCGCCAAGCTCCATGTCCTACACGAGGAAGTGGAGTATATTCATTCACCACTATATGCTGTACAATACCGGTTTCCACATTCAACAAGAATGTTTCTCGTGATTCCCTATTTGTTATTCGAGAAACTCCACCAAAAAGACAAAATAGAGGACCCCCTAGTGGTGTAAGTGTTGCTCCCCAGCAAAAGAGTGGAGTCTGCAGCGGCACTACACTCCAGTGCCGAGTCGAGAAATCAAAACGGTACATACATCCCAACTCCTGTTCAGTGTGAAGGTTCGCCCCGTTTACACTGCAGCCACCCAACACGTACATGGCAGTTGTGTGTGCAGCCACTGCGTGGTGTGCGGGTTGGTGTGTGGGTGGTGTGCCGGTTGTGTGAATGTAATGATCCCAGCGGGGCGGAATAGTGGAGAAGTCAAGTGCATGCACAACACCTGGCGACACGTTTAAGTGTGGGAGAACTATACCCCTTTGCTCTTCTTCTACTTGTTGTTGTTGTTGTTGTTGTTGTTGTTGTTTACAGTCTTTTTCTAACTGTGTTGCCGTATAGGTTCTGCATGTGTTGCAGTGAGAATTATGAAATCCAACAGATGTGATGCCGCCAAATATGAGGATTCGTGTACCATGCAAACAAGCGGAGTGATACACACGTGGTGGTGGAGGCTCTCCATCACAGTGAAGCTTCTTCCATTCTCCTGTTGTAATGTTTAGCGTAAAGACAGACCCGTTAAGATCAAATGCGGACGTTTTGCCACCAATAACTACTATCCATTCACCATATAAGGTAGCAGTATGACCTTCAAGACCAAACATTATTATTAAAATAACGCTACCTGATAAGCAATTCTAAAAATGAAGGAAACGAGAAAAGAAAAGAAAAAAAAAAAGTAAGGTATAACATAATGAGAAAACAGCATTCTTATCCTCATAAACGTGGTAAATTTATAAATATGTAGATGAATAGAAATATACATATATATATATATAAATATATAAAGAAAGAACTAAAGAAAGAAAATAACACGACAAGTAAGATAAAATGTGACAAAAAAAAAAAAAAAAACAATTATCCTCTTCCTCATCATCATCATCATCATATTACCCGTAATCAACTCTTCTGCGTATACGCTTTCCATGGTGAGTTTCCATCAATAATACACCGGCTGGCTCCATTATCTGTCTTGCGATCAAAAGTCTTCATGAAACGTTCAAACTGTTCGTCAATACGCTCAGTAGCTAATTGTTGAGCACCTGCTTGTCTACTAAACTGCATTTTTGCCCTATTGGGATCTAGTGGTATTGGTATATCCTCCATTACACTTTTACACAAACGATTGGAGACTTCACTAGATGCCTCTAAATTATCACGTGTGCGTTTAATGTCTTCCAGACTTTCTCGTGATGCTCGTTCTGCTGAAGAATTTTCCTGCTGTATACTTCCCTCGTAACCAAGATCCATCTTTGATGGATAACGCCCCGTCTCCTTTGAGACACGCTCAGCGTCTTTTACGTAACTTTGATTCATATCACGATGAAGTTTATCCGCCTCTTTTAATTTCGCACTGCAGTAACTATTCATTGTCACAGCCCCCTGTTCACCCTCATCGGCAAACACTTTTGCCTGCAATTCATGATTATCCTGCCAATCCACTGGGGCACCATATTCATCACTACAAGTACCACGTACTAGTACACCATTTTCCCAAATACCTGTGAAAAGTAATCGTGGTTCATTTGCCAAGTATGTTTGTGTACCTTCACCATGGGCGCGTCCATGTTCATTAAACTCACCATCATATGTGTATGTTGGGGTGTAGAGTTGCCCACGTCTAATACATCCATCGATAAATTCACCCAGATATACAAAACCACCATCAAGTTTCATCTTACACGCAGAACCATGAAGTTTACCATTTAAAAAAGTTCCTTCCTGTTCGGCTCCCGTCGCAAACACAAGTCGTCCTCGACCGTGTGGTCTGTTTTCGTGAAATTCACCTTCATATGTAAAATCATGCTGTGTAAGTTTACCAGAGACAAAAGACTCATCACGCAGTATTCCTACAAACACGGTCTCCGTTGTGCCATTCGGAATGCGAACGGTTCCCTCCACTAATTCATCTTCACAGAAGCGGCCATTATAATAAGTCCCATCGGCCAGCCAGGCCTCACCAGTGCCATGTCGCTGCCACTGGGCATTAAACTCCCCGCGGTATAAATCACCATCATCATGCAATTCACTACCGGGAAGGGGAAAGCCGTGTTGTGCGTGAAATTTCCCATTGAAAATACGGCCGTCAGGCATCGTGACAGTGCCATTGAGTAACAAATCACTGCGCTGTGGGTTTCGGGTTCCTTGCAGAACCACACCGCTTGGCAGTCGCACAGTACAGAGGCGAATAGCACGCCGCAGAAACATTTACACCACTGCAAGCACACTCACACACAGACACACTTTCTTATTGGTTCTTTCTTTTATATATATATATATATATTGTGTTTGTGTGTACGTATAAATATATTTATATCTTGTACATTAAGGTAGATAGTAATGCATTACAATAGGATACAGAAACAGGCGAAAAGAAGAAGAAAGGAGATAATAATAATAATAACACGTTAAAATAAAAAAGAATGCTTTAGAAAAGCCAAAAAGAGAATGAAAACCATTTTATAAACACAAACACAGACAGAGAGAGATGGAAGTAGAAAAAAAAAAAAAAAATCAGTACGTGCAGCCCAGCGCGTCATAAAGTTAAAACTGAAAATAAAAAATGAGTGAAAGATAATAAAAAAAAACGAACATCAAAAATGGAAAAACAGTGATATTACATAAATCAATTTTTTTTTTCTCTTTTCACTTTCTTGTATACCGAGTGAAGTGAAATCTATTTTCACTCAAACAAACGTTCCAGTTGTCCTACTACACAGAGATACAAAGAAAAACACTTCCAATCTCTTAAATAAAACCGGACACATTCTAGGACTGGGAATAAAGAATCGTGAAAAAAAGAAGAAAAAAAAGAATGAAGGCATTGGTAGCTCTCTTCAATACATGCAAAGGTCATTCTGCAAAGAACAAAAGTGAGACGAATACAAACATATACCCCAAAGCACAAGGGAGGGGAAGAGAAGGGGGTGGGGGAAAGAGAAGCAGAAAAAAAAAAAAAAACGTAGCACAAGCACAAATAGACACAGCATAATCAAACTCAGAAGCAGGCACATCCAATACATGTATCAATGAAAAAAAGTCTTCTACTTTACAGGGCGAGCTAAACGAGCATCTTGACGAAGATCTCGGCAGAGATAACTGTACTTATATTTTATTTTAACTTTCTTAGCTGGACATGGTACTGGTTCAGCCGGTGCTGCTGGTTTTTGAACTACTACTGGTGTTGATGGTGTCGGTTCTGCTTCCGTCATTTCATTTATACTTTGTTCTTTTGTCAATTCTGTTGGTTCTCCTTCTTCTCCGTTTACAGCTGTTGTTGTTGTTGTACTCTCTTCTACAAGGGAAAAAGTCTGTAAATCTACCAAAGGTACTGGTGGAAATTCCAATTTACGATTAATGCAAACAAGTTGCACAGCAAAAAAGGCCCAACAGGCGAATGCGCTTCCTACGTGAGATTCGGATAGTAAAGAAAGGTGATGAAGTTCTGGTTTTAATATATTCCAGCATAGGCGGTAGAGTTGTGGTGTTGATACCTCGGAGTCTTCAAAAGTACGAAGTTTTACATCAAGGGCATCTGCCATTTTTCCTTTAAAACGATCTACCAGCCAATGGTAGGGATGTTGCACAGGGTGAGTAGCGAGGAGATCGCCCACAACGCCTAAAAGAGATTGAAAACGTGGCTCTGTGATGAGTTCATGTGTTTGTAAGAATTTTGCCACATCTGAGGTACGTATACCATCAAATACATGACGTAATTCATACAAAAAACCATTTCGCATAAGTTCCTCCTCCCTCGTTGTCATGACACGTCGACTTGTGATGGTACTTGTACCGGAGAGCCTTGAGGCGACCACGGCACGGCAAATCACATCGGCGTTGCTGTTATACAGTCGGAGCAGTAACTCTGTGTAGTCCTTCTCCTGCAGCTCTGCGAGTATAGTGGGATCTCGGCGCAGGAGTCCTCTCGCGTCTGGGAGCCCCGCGAGTGCGAGTTGCCGCGTGACGACTGCGAGCGGAACGGCACGGCCGCCGTCTGCGGGGAGAAGCGACCGGAAGACCCGCCGGAAGAATCGCGCGAGGACGTCGAGTGGACGGCGGGCGGCGAGAAGACGAGCGACGACGGCAGCCCGCAGAACCGCCTCCACCGCCGCCGCCTCACCGTCCTTTTCTTCTTTTTCTTCCTCTTTCTCCTTTTTCTTCTTTTCTTCCTCTTTCTTTTCTTCTTCCGTCTTTTCTGTCTGTTGTTGTTGTTGTTCTTCTTCTTCTTCCTTCTTTTCTTCTTTTCCATCCACCTTGGCGTCCTCTTGCTTCTCCTTCTCCTCTGCGGCGGCGAGGGCGGCGGTGTCCCGCACGAGGGCCACCAACTCGGCCGGCGGCAGCAGTCGGCCCCCAAGCGGCGCCAGCAGGAGGACCATCACCCGCACAAAGTCCCGCGCCCCATCACCGCACGGCGCCACGTCACGCTGAAAGTCCAAACAATCCTCAAAGAACGGCAGAACATCGCGTGCAAGGGCGCGATCGCCAACCACAACCCCAACTTCAGCCGCAAAGGACATTGCCGCAGTCGTTACCGTCGGTACAGCACTACCACGTCGCGAATGGGGATAAGAGTTGGATACCACCACATGCAATACAGTTCCATCAGCCCCAGAGCCTTTTAGTTTTACATAGGCATTGTAAGCCGTTAACTCTTCATTCGTTTCACTTGTTGTGTCACGTAAGGATAACTTAAGATCTCCAACCGACATGTGTGTTAGATCGAACTCTTCTAAAATAGCATTCTGTAAGTCATTTAGCGCATTATCAGGTCGAACTGCACATGTCAACACTACTTCTTTTTTACCCCAAGTGATATAACAGTGTAACGGTAGACCAGTTGTACATGGATTACCTATACCAAGTAAAAGACGAATACGTGTACGTCCTGATTGCACTACAGAATCAAGTATCGCACACGTCTGTTCGTCACTCAGCAGAGGTGCTCCTTCATGATTGTACAAATGTACATCATCCAAAGATGTGATTCCATGTGCACATGCACATGCGGTTTGAAGTGTTTCCAGTAGATTCGGTTCATTTGGCTCCCATGAAAATTGGAAAACAACAACATTTGTCTGATGAAAAGAACATTCAATTTCAATTTTAGAAATTGGTATCAAATTAGTACCTGTTGCTCCCATATCATCTTCTTTTAACATCTTTTCAGGCTCCTTCACCTCTTCCGATGTGAGATGTGGTTTCTCCTCCAACTGTGGTGATTCCTCATCACTTGCACGGAGAGGAAGCACATCGGCACCACATCTTTCTTTCAAAAATGACTCTGTTGAGATAACCACAGAACGTCCCACCAATTCTGGTGGTTCTGAGACAAGCGTTACCTCTTGTACGACGCTAATAGATGTCCCATGTGGAGATTGGACTTCCTCGCTATCCTCCGAACCATTTACTACTTCAGTGTTCTCAGTATTTCCAGGATTAGAAGGTTCTTCAGTCGGTGCAGTTGAATTCTCTTTTGTAATAGAATTTATTCTATCTGATATTGTATGTTCATCCTTAATAAGATTAGAAGGCACTTCAGTCGGTGCAGTTGAATTCTCTTTTGTAATAGAATCCATTCTATCTGATATCGTATGTTCATCCTTAATAGGATTAGAAGGCACTTCAGTCGGTGCAGTTGAATTCTCTTTTGTAACAGAATTTATTCTATCTGATATCGTACGTTCATCCTTAATAAGATTAGAAGGCACTTCAGTCGGTGCAGTTGAATTCTCTTTTGTAATAGAATCCATTCTATCTGATATCGTATGTTCATCCTTAATAGGATTAGAAGGCACTTCAGTCGGTGCAGTTGAATTCTCTTTTGTAACAGAATCCATTCTATCTGATATCGTATGTTCATCCTTAATAGGATCTGATACATCAGTGCTTGTAGCAAAATCTTGTTTGGAAAAATTAAATACATCAACAACTGTGGTAGCATCTTCCTCTTTTGTAGAATTTCCTCGATCTGATTCCGCATTCTCTTTCGTGGTAGGATCCGAAGAACTAGTAGCTGCAGCAACCCTGTCTACATTCACAGGTTTTGATGCGGCAGCGGGTGCAACACACTCCGCTGCGATATCAGTAGGAAAACGGTACGTCAAACGACATGCCGTGTGCTCTGCCAAACACGAACGCAGTAGCAAGTTAACAGCGTTTTCGTCATTGAGGGGACGCAGATCATGTTCATCAGTGCCCAAGGCGTATAATTCCAGCTGCATGGAAAGCGGCGGTGGTTGTGGAATAGCGCCTCGCACGGCAAACATAAGTGCCTCCCGGACTCCACGCTTTGGAGTAATAAACCGTTTCTCCGTTACAGATCGTGTGGCTTTACCACCACTACCACTATTACTACTAGTTACTCCAACAACTCCCCCTTTCCCTGTCTCTGTGCTTTTCTGGTTATTGCTGTTGAGATTGTTTGGGTGGTAAATGCATAAATGAACAAGTTCATCATCTGCGAGCATGGAACTCGCAATTTTGCTTGAGCGTTCCGGTAACGTGACGACGAACTTAAGCCGCCCAAGTGGTGGTGGTTTTGCAAACAATTCCACCACGTCCCTATCGCATAATATCCGCTGTGTTTGTGATTCGGATTTCGACTGTGATTGTGATGATTGCTGTTCCGCCTCACTGCGATCAACGCAGAGATCGAAGGCACCATACTGCAGACGTAGATCTTGTGCCTTCAGCAACTCTGCGAGTTCACGCAGTGTACGTGGGGCACGATCCACGTTGAGTGTACGCCGCGTGCGCTCCCCGCCGCCCTGCACCTCCAGCGTGCACACAAGAGTTGCGCCGCCCATCACACATACAAGAAAAAAGAGAGAAGATTTGGGGGTGTGGTGGGGAGAACCGCAGGCGAAATAGAAAGAAAAGCGGGGAAGTAAAGGGGATAAGAAGAAACGCAGCAAATAAGAAGAAGAGCAGGCGCCTTTTTTTTTTTTTTTTTTTTTTTTTTTTTTTTTTTCGTTTTTCCTTTTCTTATGTGATCCATATAAAGATTGTTATTGAATAAGAAGAAGAAGAATAAGAAAAAGAATAAATGGAAGAAAAAAGTAAACACCACAGAATTAGAGAAAAAAAGAAAGAGAATGTGAACATGAATGTGTCGCACCTTGGCTAGCATACAACCAACTATGCAAAAATAAAAAAAAAAAAAACCGGTAAATCGAAAGAAAAATAGCATGATAGAAAAACTCAGAAAGAATTCAAAAAAAAAAAAAAAAAAATCGATCCCTATGATGAACACAATAAATATTAAGACATTCTTCATGTATTTAAATTTAATTACAAGTACCCTATAAAGTATTGAACAAAGAAGAAGTTTCTCTTGAACAGTGAAGAAGATTACCAAGGTCCACATCAACTCCTCTCATCCTCTTCGGTAATCCCCTTGTGGTATCCTCAATCTGCAATAAAAGTAATTCACGGTTCTTATGAAATAACTGTTGCACCTCCATTACACGACTACTCATCGCACTCAGTCTTTTCCCCTGTTCACTTTTCACCAAAGTAGCTAAATAACAGTAATGGCGTACAGAAGCTGTTGCTGCCGCATAACGTACCACCTGCGCCGCGTTAGAAACATGCGCCACTGCAGGAAGTATACGCTCAATGAAAAGAGAGTGTATTGTTGTGGTAATGATACTAAACTCAGATGGTCGATGGGTATATTGTGTAAGTGATGTAAGTGGAACACTATCCCACTTCTCATCACAGTATGATAAAGCTTGAGAAATAAAAATAACTACTGATGTCATCTCATCCACTAATGTAGTAGTATTAATATCTCCTCCATAGGATGGGGTAAGGCATTCCACAATAGAGATTGTATACCAATAAAGTGTATTGCAGAATGTAGAGACTGTTTCCCAATGAATACGGTCATTAAACCAATATAGTTTGGATGTATTCCACCAATTCAGTGATTTTCTAAAATCTTTTGCTGCCCCACATTCGTACTTTTTTTCTCGTTTTTCTTTTTGTTGATTCCCATCTTCTTTCATTTGTAGTTGTAAAAGACCTGCAAGTCGATACTGTTCTGCTTTTTCTTCTGCTCTTTCAGCCATATCCGCGTTATCTTCAAGTATTTCCCATTTCGTCATTTTTGGAAAGAGTTTTCGTCTTATCTCGTTAAATATAGGATAACATATACTCATTGTGTATGGAGAGGAGGAACATTCGCGTAACATTCTCAATGCCTTAAGAGGATTCCTTTCCTCATTATATGCATATATAGCAAGGTAATATAGTGAATCTTTTAATTCATTATCTAACTTGTATGCTTTCTGGAATAAGGCTACCGTATTTGCTGAAAATTGATTTTTCTCTTTTATTAAGATTGCAGAAGCCAGTTGAAAATGAGCTTTTCCACTATTAGGGCATACATTAATTGCACTACGAAATAATGATTCATCATCATACCAATCATCTATTCGTGTATAAGTTAAATAGGCCCATAAAAATAGAAATATAATAATGGTAAAGATTTTTGTAAAACTCTTTACTTTATATCTCTCTAACTTTCTTTTTTCTTCTTCTTCTTCTTCCTCTTCTTCTTGTTGTTGATGCTTTTGTTTTTCTTTCGGTTCTTCTCTCTCTTGATAAAACTGTTTCTCTTCAGCTCCCATCAAGGTGTGTATAATGAGAAGTACAGCACCGATGGAGGGAACATAGAGACATCTCTCTGCGATAAACGTCCCTACACGCACAAGCAGATGGCTTACTGGCATATACGGTATAATAATCCACATACTCATCAATAACCATCGAAGTGAAAAGAAATCCAAGAAACGCACAACCCGCCAAACATGTTTACAAAAAAGATATAGTATTACAACTAAGAAGAGAATCATAAAAGCCACTCGTCTATCCCATATGGTCTCAATAAGTGGAATACAGTTATAACTGTATTCACAACACAATTGTGTTGGAAAGAAAAGAAGCTCCATGTTCTTCATCTGAATTAAAAACCGCATACCCAACCAAACTAAAATACCAGGTGGTATAAAATACTGCGGGTTCTCCGTACGCCGCAGCATATAATTAAATGATAAGTCTACTGAACCAATATAGCGTTGTCGAAACATAATAACATTAAGAATGAGTAAGAGGGCAATAGCACAAGTCAGGATCACCTCATGTATAGATATCCATCCTCTTAAATATAAAAATATAGCGTGAATCATAAATAAAGCAGCAAAGGTTATTCCACTCTCTTTTGAAAATACACTAAGGGATGTAAAGATAAAAACAAAAAGAACACCCCAGACTTGATTCATGGATATCTGGTAAGGTTTTTTTGGATGTACCTTCTCATCACTTGGTCTTTGCTTCAATACAAGGAAATGCAAAGAGAAGAATGCACAAAAACCAAAGAAACAATAAAGGAGTTCAGCTCTACCGACAACAGATACCACAGCATCAGTGTGTACAGGGTGAAGCATAAAGAGTATCATTGCCAACGTGGGACACATATCCTGTTTTCTCCTACTAATACTACTAATAATAATAGAAGTAGTTGTAGTTGTAGTATTAGTATTGTTAGACCTACTGTTTATACAAGTACTTTTGTCCTTCCTTGGAAAGTAGATAGCTGCTAAAATGTACACACAAATACCATTCAATATAGAAAATAAAATGTTCACAGTACGCAAGGAATAAGCGGAATGCTCATATCCACTTAGCCAGTGCTGTAGTCGAAAAGTCAGAACAGTAAATGGACGAAAGGATCTATTTGATGTATGGGAATGAAGTGTATTTCCCCAGTAGTCATGCTGAAGTAAATCCCATAGTGTGCTTTGAGAATTGGCGTGGGCGTCTTGATTTTTAATAAGCGCCAAATGATCATCAAACGTAAATTGACACTTTAGTGACTTTGCATACAACCCCAACGAGACAGTTATAACAATAGCAATGAAAAAAAAATCTTTTTTTCCAAATAACTTTTCCTTTTGTTGCTGTTGCTGTTGTGCCTGCTGCTCTTTCTGTGATGAAAAGGGTGTTGATACTGGTGGTGCTGATAAAAAAGACACGTCACCATTAGTAGTTGTGACTATATTCCTAGGTGAAATTGTTCTCTTTCTCAACATTATTCATCCCTTACTTGAGAAAAAGGATATGGAACCATTAGTAGATAAATATAAATTTAAAACACGAACCAAAAAAAAAAAAACAGATACATACATACATATATGTATATACATATAAATATAATAAGGAAGATAAATAAAGCCATATATATATAAACTAAACTAATCAACACTCTCACTACAAACAAAAATAAATACAAAAGAAAAAATGCAATTATCTTCCCCATACTTTATGCGCATGCACATAGTTGAGTAAACTTGTGTCTTTCTATGTGTATAAAAACTTCACTTCACACATGATACCGGTGCTGTTGAAGATGATGTGGATGCCATTTCCCATTCCTTCCCTTCTCCTTCTTCTGACTGTTGCATGTAGCTGTGTCTAAGACCGGCGTGAGTTTCACGTTGTTCTTCAATTCGAGCACAAAGCCAATCGTACAGTATTTCCACATCACCTGGAATATCATCCCTACCATTTCTATCCTTATCGCTATATGGATTGCGCTTGTTCGTTGTCTCTTGCAGCATCCCTTCCAGTTTATCCAGCACATGATTCTGTGTTTCAATAAAGTTTGCGAATACCCGCTTGGCAAGTTGTTCCTTCACTCTATATCGATGCAAGAATGTTTGAAGAGATCTGTTCTCCTGCTGCATCTGCACTTCTCCCCGCGTGAGTGTTTCCACCTTCAATTGCAGTTCCTCCACTCGGCGGTTTGCCTCCAGCAGAGAAGTCTCCAATTCACACAATCGTGTGGCCCCGGCGGCGGGAACGGCGGCTGCACGTTTGGCGGCTTTAAGGGCCTTTTCCAGTGCGACTGTGCGGGACTCAAATTCTTCCTGCAGACGATGGGCCCGTGTGAGTTGTTGCTGCATTTCCTGTCGTTCCTCCTCGGCGGCGGTGAATTGTGCCTCGAGTTCTTCGCGGCGGCGTCGCTCCGCTGCGAGATCTTCTTCTAATTGACGGATGTGTACATGACGTGCCTCTATCGTCTCTGGCAGTAATACACTACCCCTCATCGTCACCGCAGCAGCAGTATTATTATTATTATTATTATTATTATTATTATTATTAGTATCCGTAGTATGGGAAAGAGAAATATGTATAGGAGGAGGAGGAGTGTCTTCTAGTGATTTACTATGTCTCTGTGAGTGTATTGGCAGTTGTTGTTGTTGTTGTTGTTGTTCCATTGACATTTTATTTGGAGATGTTACGATAGACGTTGATATCCCACCGCATTGTAATAAAGAGCGTGTGGTGTCTACCACATCTTCTATACTTTCACAGCACTCATTGGGTGGCAATAGTTCATTCAATCCAACCAGACAACGTTGCACTTGTGATTGTAATTCACGGTGTTGACGCCGCAACTGCAGTAACTGCCGCAAATCTTCAAGAAAACTCATTGAATAAAGTCCCTCTTCAATAAGTGCCCGCTGCAGCATTCGCTGACCCACTACAAGTGAGGCGATAGCGGGAGGTAATAAACGCAAAGTTGGTTGATCGTCCTGCAATTGCTGCAAGGCCACATCCAAGTGTGGGGGTGTTGACAGTGTATTCCCCACATTCACAGTTCCCTCTTCTCTATCATCATGGACTTTTCTCTGTCTCAGTTCAGGCTTGGATTTCCGTGGATACATATCTTTCATTTCATTATCATCATCATTATCATTATTATTATTTTCTTCTGATTCTTCTTCGTATTGGTCCAATTGAAGTACCGAACAAAGATGCGAAATAAGCATATCCAGCACATAAAAGCGCTCGGCATCTTGAGTCTTCATAATACACTCATCACGCGTCAACAGAGAACTCCGCTCATCACAGATAAGAGGCTCCTTCACCACAAACCACGTGGCTGTTCCTGCAGTGGCATTAACACCCCAAAGAGTGGTATGTGCACAGCGTTCCCCAGAAGAAAGCGACAAAAAACCATTACCAGGAAATTGAAAAGATCCCTGTAGTGTTAATTGCACCGCATCCCACACGAGTGCCTGTTGATCTTCACCGTAACTCCACATATGACGTCCAAGCGACATCACTAATAAACTCCGCACCGCACTCCCATTACGATGAGCCTGCCACACACATCGTGGAGCCTTACCGTCTTTTTCCATCTTGTTTGAAAAAGAAGAAGAAGAAGGCATAGATGTATGTGGTAACAATAACGGAAAAACTACCATATTTCCTGTTGTTGTTCCTATCCAAAGACGTTCCCCACGAACCAGTGTACAACAGGAGGGTTCACCATACTCATTCGTATCATATGCTGGCATACCAAATATAAGTGTCTCATCTACACTACGCCGCCAATTCCACACATCCACATCCCCGCGTTGAGCAACCGTTACGATTCGCTCACACATCTCATCAATCATTATAGTGTGAAGACGACCACGAATACGAAAGAGACCTGTTGCACTGACACCCTCTTCATCCCCACCCCATTCTACTAACACTACTTCGCTAAAAATACCATCAAAGAATGAAACTAATACTGAAACACCACTCACCATATCCTCTGTCGTTAATACTGATGGTACTGATCCTCCCATGTGATTCTTCTGAGCTTCACTCCCTTCATTTATAGAAACAGCGGTTATAGCTGTTAATTGTGACTCTAACTCACATTGATGTAGCACAATTTGTGGATTATCTGCATCACATAATACAAGACACCCTTTTACAGTGGCAATACAAACAAAGACCTGTTGGCAACCGCAAATCGTTGGAAACGCAATTGAAAGAATACGGTCATCCTCATTACACTCAAAAATAGGAGTAGAAGGTTCAACAGATGTCATCGCTGGTGATGATATCATGTCTGATACCATAGTAGCAGAGAAATAAAAGACCTGTGTGTTAGATTTATCAACAGCCCACACAGCACCACGTGGATCACAATGTAGAGAAGAGAAAGAGTTACGGCCGACGAAAGGAATTTCTCCTCCCAATGAACATTGTGGTGGAAGAAACATAAATTTCAAATCCTCTTTATTATCGTTATTGTTGTTGTTCTGGTACTATGTTGTTTCTTCTTCTCTTTATCCTTCAGTTGCTGCTGCTGTTGCTATTTGCAAAATAAAAATAAAATAATAATAACAATTACAATAATAGTAAAGAAAAGTAAAGAAGGTTTAAAAAATGAATGTTGAAGTTTACCAATATACATGCATAACAAGACAAAATATCACAGAACCTCAGTAATACCAAGAACAATCCTCTCCTTGGAGAAAACAGAAACAAAAAAAAAATGGTGATACACAACCTTTCACTTCACATGGGCTATAAGAAAGAAAAAAAAAAAAGTTCAAGAAAGCAAGAAAGACAACATATATATAAATAAAAATAATAAAAAAAACAGCATATCAAAAGTAAAGTGCTGTTTTAGGGTGTTCCAGAGGGGTCCTAGTCCAGGAGAGAGCATCATACATCTCCTTAGGACCACGAATATACATTATCATCATAAATTCATCCCACTGAATCGTCATGGTCTCATCCAGACCAATACGACTACAAAGATGTTTTACCTCTTCAGAGGATATTGGTTCACCATACAGGCGTGCATGTATCGCAGCAAGATCCCGTGCCTCAATGAAGCCTTCCATACCTTCTGATGGTTCCATGTTAAACTCCAAAAATACACGCTGTAGTTTCTTTATCAATATGTCATCATACTCACTACCATCAAGTCGCAAAAGCACAATAAACATTTCCCACGTGAGACGCTCCTGTGGGGCACGGGCCTTCAGTTGCTCTAAGAATTCCTCTGTGAAGGTACCAAAGTCACGCTCGTGTCCGAGAATACGCATCCGCTCACGCAGTCCATCTACTAACGCCGACGCCGGCACTGTGCCATTCTGCTGTATCTCCACAAAGTAACGTTTCATCGCTCGCAGGTGAATTACTTCAGGATGAACACTTGGCTTCGGTGTGCCCCCTGAGGCGTGAAAGGCCAATACACAATTGCGTCTTGTCTGTTCAAACACAGACTCCGCCACCGGCTGCGGTAGAGACGTGCGGCGCACACCCACTTCCTTCATATTTGTGTTTCGCACCACCAACTCCGCGAGATAAGTGCCACCCGTCCATGAGATGAACTCATTGCCGCTCAGTTCAATACGCTCTAATGCCGGGTGGAACATCGCCATACGTGTGATAAAGTAAACAGAGTCATTTGTTAGATAATTATTAGCAAAGTTCAGTGACTTGAGAGCGGGAAATCGTTTACAAAGCTCTACCACCGGACGGACTCCTTTTGCTCCAACATATAATCGAGAAAAGTTCAATTCCGTCGTTTCATTCCATTGTCCAATACGATCTGGAAACATGGCCGCTACTGCTGAGATTGGATGACACTGGAAGCGCTGGCACAGTTCTCTATATGCCTCGCGCGGTGTGAGAGCGTGGAACTCTGACTGCAACTGCTGCACATTGTATGGTGTCCCCACTGCACTCTGGGACTCCATCCCCGAAGAGACATCACGTGAGGCCACAGAGAGCATTGATTTCAACTCACTCTAACACCAACAACAATAACAACAACAAGTGCAGAAGCAGCAGAAAGGTAACAGTTGAAGTTCCAAAGAAGAAGAAGAAGAGAGAAAAAAAGATGAATATAGAGTAAGAAAGAAACAAAAAAAAAAAACATATACCAATAGGGATGAGATTGCGCACACTGCAAAGTTTTCATAGCCAACACAATCCAATAAAAAACAAATAATAAGAACACTAGATAACTGGAGAAAAATAGAATAAATAAATAAAAAAAAAAATAGAATACAGCACACAATTATAAAATAGCGTACAATTCGATATAAAGGAAAAGATGAACAAAGGGAAAAAAAAAAACCCTTTGCAGCAAATGCTTTTCGGCGTGAAGAGGAAAAGAAAAAACAATGAGAAAAAGATACAAATACAGAAAAAAAGGAAAAAAAAAGTAAGCGATAGAGATAAGAACTCTTAGCGTGAGATCGATTGTGCAAAGCCAGGAACCCGATGTACTGTCTCTTCAACTGATATACTATTAACTCCAAAATCTCCATTTGCCCCTAGTGAAGGGGTTGTTGTGATGATATTACTAATTCCTTTTGAAGAATTGGATAGTCCATTATGAGAAATTAAAAACAGTTTAAACAGTACACGTTTCATATTGGCCACAAGAGTGTCTCTCGCCTCTTGTGACTCTGCACAGCAAAACAATGACCCCTTTTCATGTACAATGATAAAGGCATACTTTAAAAAGGTCGATGGAGGTTTAACACCAAGTTCAGTAGCAATATATACGTCTTTCACACTTGTCATCCTCCATGAATATGTTTTTTGTTCACCATCATTGCGGTGTATAATGTAATCTCCCAAGAGAAGCCAAAAAGAGCGTACAAAGGAGGTACAACCACTACGACAACACCATACTGGTACAGCAGAAACTAAAGGTTCTGTAGAGTTCTTTACACTTTCATCAAGACTCCCTTCACGTTGATTTTCCTTTTCACTCTGCCCAAGTGGAGCATTTATCAATGATGATTTGGTTTCCTTTTTACAGTACTGACGAATATGTCGCACAAGTGCGTGTCCATGTTGAACGTTTAGTGGACATAACAGCAATAAAACAGGATTGGATCCGAGAGAAAGCTGCAAATATAATCCATTCTTTGCACATGAACGTGGGGCTCGCATTAAAAGCATAGAACTCAACTGACAATTTAATACATGATCCAGCGCAATAGTTATCTCCGGTTTCACTGTGTTTGGCCGTAATAGCAATAAACGTGAGTCTCCATCCAATATCACCCACGTTCGTTCCCATTTTTCCTCAATACATGGTTTTACACACTTGTATGCCCAAAAACCAATATGTAGCTCCTTTGTTACGTTTAGTCGTAAGGGTTTCGCTTTTCGTTTTACAGTTAAAATAAACTCCTGCATCTTAGCCAAGACATCAACTTCATTATGACAATTTTGTATCATTAATTGACGGAAATTATTAAAAGAAAAATATTTATTTTCATCCTGCTGAAAATCACTCTGTTGCGAAACCCAATCTCCTGAAAATACCTCTTTCCCCAGAACAGCAGCAATAAGAAGATGACAGGTTTCAAGATCTATTAGTCGCTCTCCGCTAAGACTTATTGTCCCCAAAGAACTGAAGAACTGATCTAATACAGCAGCGTTTTCATTCATAAAAGGAAAAGAAGGGTGAACCATTACAGGACAACTCGTAGACTCTTCGGTAAAAAGAACAAGTCGCTTACACTCTTCTACCAAAACAAGAAATACAATAACCTCATTCTCCACCAACAAATTTCGCTCCTCAGATTCATAAAGCATATAAATATCGCCAAACTCCGCTACACATTCACTCAATAGTTTTTCACGAGCAGTCACTTCCTCAGCAACGAATTTTTCTACTGCACTCTCATACATACGCTGATAAGCATCGGCAGCATCATCAGAAGCCTTTCTGCTTGGTGATACACGACCACTGGCAATGGCAGAAGTGGATCCAGAAGCGTTACCATGCACATACTTCTGTTCCAGGGCAGCAATGAACTCCTCTTCACGACCACTGTACTTCTCAAGCTGTGCATCCACGTTCCCAAGCTTGCTAGGGGCATACTGCTCGTAAATTGCAACTACTCGGCTACGATAATCCTGCCCAGCAGCAGCAGGCTCAGGGCCATACTTGTTCACAAGGGCTGCAATTAGTGCCTCTTCCTGCCCATGATACTTCTCCAGTTGTGTATCCACAAGACTGACCTTGGCAGGTGCGTACATCTCATATAACGCCACCAGCCGAGCACGGTAGGATGAGGGACTGTCGGTTGGAGTTGATGTTTCTTTTCCCGCATCGTTATCTGTTGCATCATATTCCGGTTCAGGACCATACTTGTTTACCAATGCCTCAAACATCGCCTCTTCCTTTCCTCTGTATTTGGTGAGCTGCTTATCTACAGAATCTAATTTCTCTGGGGCGTAGGTGGTGTAGAACTGCACCAAACGTTGGTGGTAATATGCCCTCCACTCCTCCGCAGGTCCCTCACCATTCTCCTCATCCGCACCACTTGTACTCTTATTACTGCCTTCCATATATCCAGGCTCTGGACCGTACTTATTCACAAGGGCTTGCAGAACCTCCTCTTCACGTCCGGCATATTTTGTGAGTTGTGCATCCACCCCCTTTACCTTATCAGGTGCGTAGTGTTCGTAAAAGGCGATGAGACGACTTCTATAGTCTAATGACATTGTTTACCCTCTTGTGAAGGTAAGAGTGTCTAGTCACAGTGCTGCTCGGTTTCACACTACGCAAGTAGACGCGAATGGGATAAGGATCGGGATAAGGAAAGAAAAACAAAACGCGAAACTTGTGTGAATATAACACAGACCTATGTGCAAAAAGAAAAGACTTAAAGTACATAAAAAAAAAGGAAAGAAAAAGCAAAAAAAAAAAACAACAACAATAAAGTGTTACAAAATATAGCAGTATTGTTGGAAATAAAGCCTCCGAGAGCATAGTGAAAAACCAAATAAAAAGAAACGAAAAAAAAAAAAAAATAGCACATGCAACGATTGGCGTTAGACGAAACTAGATTGATACAAGCCCTTTGATCGCACACGCTCAAGCAGCACTTCAACGGAGGCCGTCCGCTTAACGTCCTCCGGGAAAAGACGCCACTCTTTAGCAGCATCTGCAAAAGAGACATTAGAGAACCCTTTCATAAAGCTTTGTACAAAGAAGACGTAATTTCCCTTGCGCCGCCGTGTTGTAATACTACTTCTACTACTACTACGGCCTCTTTTCCATCCATCTATATTCTGTGAGAGTCCCTCATCGCGCTGAGATAACTTCATCTCTCGCTGTGATGCTAGTACAGCCATAACATGTGGAGTTCCTGTTTGAAGCGAATATACACTGTAACTCTGTCCATCCTGTACTAAGAACCGCCCCATCGCGTCTACAGCAGCAATAACTGGTCTTGGTTCCTCAGAGCTCACAAGAACAGCGGCTGCGCCAAAACGACGTTTAATCTCCAATGTTCCTGTCTTAGTACGATAAGACACCCCATTCACACGTACATTCATTCCCCTTTCGTTTTATGTATGATTGTACCCTTCACCCACACTTGACTTTTTTATCGTTTAAAAACAAGAAAAAAAAAAGAAGGAAATACAAATATATAGAAAAAAAAGTAAAAAATAAGAAAAAAAAAACATGGTTCTGCTATAAACTATCTTACTCCCAAAACACCAAAAAAAAATAATAAAATAAAATATTTCTTACTTCCACAACCTCATTACGGTATAGAGGGCACGTAAACAAAATAATGATATGTGACCATGTGTAATCTTTCCATGTTTCCTTTTTTTTCTTTTTCTCTCTTTTATTCCAACATTTACACCCGTCGTCTTAGCGCCTTCAGTAGTTCCTCATCCAAGGGAATAGCTGCCTTGTTAAAATAAACCACCAGCAAGGCTTTGTGTAAATCTGGAGTAGATGCTACATTCATGGTTTTTGCCCTCTGTGCGAGTGCGCAGGCGAGTGCATTCTTCAATCCACCAGGCGAGAGTTGCGGTAGAAGTGATGCCGCCGTATTCAACTCCGCCATCGTCGTGCACCGCACACATGAATTCACAATAAGCTCAAGAAGAGTAGCCTGCATAGACACTATTACATCAGAAACGATATTGCAACACTGATAAAGACGTACTAACTGGGGAGTTGAGAATGCAGCAACATAGACAAGAGCTTTTTTATGCCCTAACGGTCGAATAAACAACAACAACAACAATCGCTCTAGAAACAACTTGTTTCCTCCTCCTCCTCCAGTAGTACTAACACTACCAACAGTAGTAGGAGCAGGAGTAGCAGCACTGGTTTCTTCCTTTATTCCTCTCTGCGCAGCAACAGTTTCGAGTGCTGTTAACAATACTTCGAGGTGCAACGACGTCACACTATCGGATTCATTCATCAAACAACGAACAAAAATCTCAAACGCCTCCACTGGGAACTCGTGAGAGTCACTTCTCATAAACTTTGTCATCTCCCGCAGTGAGAATTGCGCCGGATTCTGCTCTGCGTAATTTAACAACAACTCCGTAAGTGGTAACAATACATTACCAAAACCTCCATCGGCTACAAGACGGGGAGTTCTTCGCCATAAATCAAAGACAACTGCTGGTGAAAGAGACGATGTGCAACGTTCAAGTGAGAGAGTGCAAGATTGCAGTAAACCGCATGTCCTTGTGTATATCCCACCTTCACCAACTGCCGTCATCATCTTGATAGTATTTGTAGATGTAGTTGTAGTATTCAGTGACGACGGCGATGATGATGATGATAATGATGATGATGTTAATGATAAACGCAGCAGAGGAGAAATACGAAGTAAATCACAAACGCTACAGAGACATCCTGTGCATTCAGTCACTACAACAGATCCAGGATTACCTCGTTCCCATGATGCGGTAAATTCTTCCAAAAGTCGAGTAATCTCTGCAAAGAGTACAGTATCTCTTATATTCTCATTACATGAATCTAAGATATCCAATGCGACTGAGAGTAATCCTGCAAGTTTACCATTATATCGTTCCCAAACCAGATCACGAATTTCATGACACTTTGAAATAAGTTCCTCCAACAATAATTGAGTTTCACGGCTTACTTCATGTGTAGTAGAATCCTCTTTCTCCAGTACAGTTGCTATACAGACTGTACCCAAAGAGCTAAGAAGTGCATCCTTTGCACATAATCTATCTAAACAATTAGCACGAATACAATTTAAGATATGACGTCTAATAGAACGGGTGACTTCACTGGGTTCAAGCGTTACTACAAACTTTATTAACTCATGACAAAGATCCTCCCCAAGTTGCTGACGTCGAAGAATGTGCTGTAAGAGAAAATCCACCTCATCTGTATCAACAGAAGAAGCGCTATGTGTTCTAGAAAGCATTCGAATAATAGACTCTGCTGGTAATAAATGCGCATCTGATAATAAACGATCCTTTAAGCTTTTATAATCCTTCCCCAAGAGTAATTCTTCCTCACTTCCCAAGAAGTTATCCCCATCTCTACCGGCAAGACGAGTTTCCTGAAGAACAGATAATAACTCCTGTTGAGCATCACACACACATTCTGGTACAATAATAAGAGCCTCCACCACTAATGATCTACTAGACGCTGTTAAATTACTTGAAAAATAAATAAGACGACGACATGTAGCCTTCCATAAGGATGTATGTTTCATTTCCATTCGAAGTGTAGCAATAGACCAAAGTAATCGAGCTGTTTTTGGTTCATCTAGTTGTAGTAAATGTTCCTTAGCACAATAGAGAAGTGTATCTATTATTTCTAGTGGCTCTGTTGGTGCAGCTTTGGCAAGAGCATGAAGTGATACAAGAACCATTGAAGGTTTCCAAAGTGCAAATTGGGCATCTATGGTGCGTTCATCCAATTCCATTAATAAATTCCTCATACAAATAGAAGAAATACACCCACGAGAACCACTCTTAACGATACGAAGAATACTTACAGTTACATCATCTGACAATGTTTGTGTTATTGGAAGATGTGAAATTAATGAAGTTAGTCGTTGGACACACGTATTCGCGTACTGCAATAATTGTGTGTCTACATTATAAGAAGCAAGTGAAACCAATGAAGAACTTATGGAGCTTACATATCGAACATTATCAATACAAGGTGGTACATTAGTCAGTGTTACTGCCCGAGTGCAGATTTTCGTAAAAATTGCACGTGTTGAGTTACTCATATGTATATGTATGTATGTATGGAGCTGCTATCCTTTCTTTAATACTCCTTCTCCGTGCAGCTTCACAATAAAGAAGAAAGAAATAAAAAGAAAAAGAACGTTGTATTATATTTTTTCATAGAGTTAAGTCGTTAACGCCCACACAATAGGTAAGAATTTGTATATATGAGTATATATATATATACAAATACAAAAATATATGTATATACGTATAATTAGAAGGACAAGAAAGCGAGTTCCTTTCTTAACCTGAAGACAGCAATAAAAAAAACCACTAAAAGAACACACGAAAAGTATATTGTTTACAAATATATATATATATTATATCAAATCTGATAATTGGTGCTTTGAGCAATGTTTCCTCTTATTTCCACTTTTTTTTTTCTTCTCTTAATCACATCCTACATCCTCTGCACCTCACTTTCTATTCCCTCTCACTTTTTTTTGGGTATTCTCTCCCCATACACACATCCTCCTCACACAATTTTTTTTTTTTCCTTTTCTTCTTTTTCGTTTCCTTTTGTTTTTTTTTTTTTTTCTTTTTGCGTTTGCTTTTTCTTTTTTTTTTTAAATTCTTGCCGATGATTATAGTATTCGTGTACACGGCATAAGATCATCTATGTCTTCTTTTTCAAATGCACATGATCCCTGCCTCAGTGCTACTCTCAACTGATGTGGAAGACGTTCTTGCAATACTCTTAAATTAACTCGACTCAGCTTTGCCAACCAACGAAGCGCTAACTCTGAAAGTGATAAATGAGTGAAGAGTCCTAATGGATATCGGTAGAGACGATTAGAGTAGTAAACCACATCTGTATCTCCTGGTAACTCACCGCCAAATATTAAGAGAGATCCCTGAGCGACTACAGAGGCATGTCCACTGCGAGCACTAGGCCGAGCCTTTCCCCCACATAAAGTGAGATCCACCCACTGCGGGGCCACTGCGGTGGTATCCATACACCAAAAATCATCAAAGTACTCTTCGCCGTCGGTATCGCCACCGTGAATGTACACCCGTCCACCGAGAAGCGCCATCACGCAGGAATAACGCGGCGGTGGACGTGGGGCTCCACAGGGGGCTATCTCTTGCCACATATTACTTGGAAAATGATAACGGAAGAGGGAATTACTGTAGAGAAACCCTCCCGTCTGTGAGGATGTGTTGGCGCGATAACCACCAAAGACATAAAGATAATCCCCTTCCACCTGTGCACTGTGACCTAATAAAGGAAGAATGGGTTTCCCAAAGTTTCCAAGGGATTGAACTACATGCCATGTATGGGTATCAAGATCTAAATACCAGAAACTGTTAGAGGTATTACATGGTTCTCCCATAAGTATGTACATTCGATTTTGGTAAATGTGTGCGGTGTGAAGTCGTCTGTCGCCTGGACCATCTGGTTCCGGTGGGGCCATGTGTAACCATGACCATGTAAAGGTAATAAGATTTAAAATAAGAACATCTGAAAATAACATGGGCATATGTAAATCTTGTCCACCATAGACATACATATTATCACCATAGACTACAGCAGAGTGGCTAATACGTGGGGCAACAATTTCACTATTAATTGTTTCCTTATATGTCCATCTACATGTTTTTAAGTCAAAGCAATGAACCTCATTATACACGTAATGCAGTGCACCGCCACCAAAGAGAACAAGAAATTCATCCTTGTAATTTGCCAAAGAGTGACAACAGCCATGTGGAGGCATATCACCATTAGGGGGAACACTACTCCACATATATGTTGTCAATGCACCTCCAGGGGATTGTGAGAGCATTGCAGTAGCAAAGAAAGGAACACACCAATAAAAATAATAAACCTGTAGGTGAAGCCTCGGGCAAAACCAACGCTAACAACAACAATAACAACAGCAATAATAATAAGATTATGTATATATATATATATATGAATTTGTTCTTGATCTATACTCCCTTAGTGTAATATTCGCAGTAAGGAGTCCCGAATACAGGTTTGCCAAGAGAGGGGAGAGGGGAAGTCAAAGCAAGAAAAAGAAACTATCTGAAAGGAAGAAAAAAACCCCAATATACAAATACTAGTGGAACCAGAATAATAGGGAGAAAATGAAGGCGAATACTAAGATTACTGTGTCAAGGGCTGCCTTCAAAAAGTGAAACTCCTTTAAGGGCCACTCTAAAGATGAACGAAGAGAAAAAAAGAAGAGAAATATATTTTTTTTATATTTATATATATAGAACAACAAAGAAAAAGAAAAGATATCAAATTCCAGAGGTTATTTCACAAGAGAGAGAATTAGAGAACAAAAAAAAAAAAAAACGGAGAGAGAATAAGAGTGAGACAATATTAAACGTAAACAAAATACACAAAAATAAATTCAAACTTCCTTCAATATTCGTTGAACTTCAAATTCATCCACAGCATTTCGTACGGCATAAAGCCACGGTGGTGCTTCCTGTGGCAACTCTACCACCATTCGAGCCACCTCGCCCAACATTGCAAGTTCAGATAACAACAATAACCACATTGGCTTTCCTTCTCCTTCTTCTTCTTCACCTTCCTCTTTATTATCATCCTTATTCTCTCTCTCATTCCCTAATGTGAGGGAAGAGACGGTTTGGTGAAGACTAGCGTACTCCTTTACGGCCTCGCAAAACACCTCAAGAATAAGTGAAGGACAACAACAACGTCCCTGAAGAAGTGCAAGACCCGCACGTACCACCGCAGAGAGACGGAATCCTCTACTCTTTTCTTCTGCACAAGTGAAAGACCGCAATAAAGAGATAAGAACACGTTGAAGTCGTGAAGCGTTTGGACTCTGTGCAAGTGTATTCAACACATAATGTGAAAAGCAATCTTTTTCACTTTTCCATTCAAAATCTCCATTTTTTTCTATTTGTGTTACAAACGCTTCTAACGCAGTTGCGAGAATTTCTGATGCCACTAATAGATCTAATGGACGTACTAATCTCCACACAACACGAAAGTGTAGAGGATTCATCCCAGACCATTCTCTTACCATTTGTTCATATATTTTCCATTCTGGTGTATTTATATTCATTGAAGTTTGAACCCATGCGGCGATTCGTTCAGCCGCACGATGAGACTGAACAGCATCACTCTCTACACCTTGTAATACTTGCATAACCCCCCATACATCCTGCAGTGATCTCACTATACAAGAATTAAGCTCTACACGTGTATGATCATCTAGTCCTTCAACATCAAAACATCCACATGTGAGTTCCATATGGCTTTCTTGCATTAGGAAAGATAAATGGGATGCCAGTTCCCATCGCGGTGTTTTGTCTTCTCCGCATGATAATAATACACCATTCCAAAGACTCTCCATCACATTCTGTAGAGGAGGAATACCCAATTGACGTAGTGCCTTACTAATATCTGCAGCCACAAGAATATTATTTAACGACATTACAGCTTCCCGTAATAATTCTATTAAAGAAAAAACTATATTAGAAATCTGTTCCGTACTCCAATGATCTTTATAGCGACGTGAAACCAGAGGGAAAAGTGGGGCATTTTGTACCAATCGTCTTAATACTTCTTCTTGTTGTTGTTCTTTTTCTTCTTTACAATGTAATAGAGTCTGTTGAGCTACTATTGCCTGATAAGAAAGATCTGCATCCCACACAGCTGCAATGATATAACCTTCTGCTGCTATAGCCTCCACTCTTGAATGCCGTGCGGGTAGTAACAATCGACACAATCGCTCGTACGTTGTAAAGAGAGCAATTGGAAGTTCATCATGTCGAACCGCAAATTCATCTCCATCATTCGCAGATAAATACATGGCAATATCTGCAGTATCCGAAGCGGATAAACGTCCTAACCATGTAAGCAATGCTATTTGACAACTTTCCATAAATTCCCGTAATTGCCGTAATGCCTCTAATTTACACGTATTAGTTTTATGAATATCATCCACTACCATGGCGTAATCTTCTGGATCGTCTGTTTCATCCATTACAGGAATAGAAACAGGAGTGAGAACTTGTGCCAGTACACTAAGTCCCTCACACACAACCAGCAGTGTTTCCAATGACTGCGATGATATTGTATTCATCATTCCTTCTACACTTGCTGGATCTGTTAATACACTCCGTAGCATCTGTGCAGATAACGCTAAAGCTTGATATAAGGTGTGTTCAGGTCCAAATTGCACCACCACAGCTTCTACAGAAGACTCTAATATAGATGTAATAACAGAACAGATGTGAGATAATGGTGCACGAGTTCCATCACTATGAATAGCTGTTAATACAGATTGTATAAGGGTTACTGCGGTTGTATCCAGCATTGTAAGTGATCGCAATATAGTTGTGATAGACTCTAGTATAGCCTCACTTGCTGTACCATTCTGCAATTGATGAACGGCGTATTTCCAAAAGAGTGAAGAAGGAAGTTGAGACCAAAATAATGGTGCCATATCTTGGGCATCATTTACTGTACATTCTGTTAAGAATGATACTCCTTGACTGATCATAGTTGCCTGTGCAGTTAAATCTTCTATAGGCATAGAAGTAAGAATAAGATGCATACTATTTTGTACACATAATCGTTGAGTTGAACGGCGTATGGGTCCCATCAATACGCGACGGTCACTTAATACACTCATGAGAGTAGAAAATAATCTCATAAAAACACGAATATCTGTTATCTCAGTAGGTACAGTTCCTCCAAAAACACTCAACAATCCTTCAATCACATTCCCATTTGGTTGAAGAAGTAATAGTGATGCGATACAAAAATACAATTGTGTTAAAACTGTTCCTGGAAGGTGCGGTGTGCGTAGACATTGTAAATAAAAACGTAACAATTCACTAAAATCATCAGATGGTCTCCTGTCGTTAATTGGACGTGCTAACGCCTCTGGAATATACAAGAGACAAAACATACGATTAAGAATAGATATCAACAGTAATGAAGAGACGGATATGGTTCCTTCATAATATCTAAACAACGCCTCTGAGAACATACGTGGTGGAATCTCCTGTGATGTGATGTTTGATGTTAATGCCGCCCGGCGGAGTTCATCCCGCAGCAACACACCGGCCTCTGCGTGCCCGGAGGAAAGAAACACCTCCACGGCAGTCCACAGATGCGGTGGAACCTCTTTTCGCATCTCCTAAAAGAAGTGAAAAATAAACAAATAATAATAATAATAATAATAATAATAATAATAATAATAA